TGCCAAATATCTCATATCTCTAAGACAGACAGACAGAGTTACTTTTGCATTTATAATATTATAGATTGATAATAATTTTATACGGCAATAACAAAACAAATTATAAGTACCTACGCGTGGACCTCGTTTTACCCCCTTAGGGGATGAATTTTAAAATCTCGTCATAGTGAGCACCTAAGTTCTAAAAGAAACCCCCATATAATATTTGAGACTCCTAGCACTTGTAGTTTCTGAGATTTCGTTATAAGTGAGTGGGTCAGTCGCTGATCTTTCGCTTTTATAGATAACTAGCTTTCCGCCCGCGGCTTCGCCCGCGTGGAATTTTGTCTGTCACAGAAAAACTTTATCGCGCGCGTCCCTGTTTCAAAAACCGGGATAAAAACTATCCTATGTTCTTTCCCGGGACTCAAACTATCTCTATGCCAAATTTCATCAAAATCGGTTGCGAGGTTTAAGCGGGAAAGCGTAACAGACAGACAGACAGACAGAGTTACTTTCGCATTTATAATATTAGAAACATTTTCCAGCCGTTCAAGTGCCACACGTCGCTGTACGTCCACATGCAAAATGTTCATCGAAACAAACAGAAGGAGAACCTATGCCACATCTGCGGGAAGTCCTACCAGGTGAGCTGGATACTTTATTATCATCATAAATTAATTATTACAAATAAAATAAATAAATCCTTTGACACTTAGGCCCGGTTCCCACTAGACCAGACCGGCAAATGTGCCGGAAACCAGACGCCGGACAGTGTTCACATTACGCCGGATCCAATTTGTAATGTCTCCAATTCGTTCGCGTTTCATCTTCAGTATACACTCCAGTCACGCTCCATTTTCATTCCAGCTGATGTGCAATTCGGTATCGCGGTAAAGTTCACGCGTAAACCGACCAAACAACGGATTTATGCACTTTCCATTAAAATTCCGAATACCTTATTAAAACTAAATCACAGCAAATATTCGTAAAGCGTTTGACTTGCGTATGAGAAAAAGTAGCTTTCTGACAGCTTTTATTCAAAGGCGCAGATGCCCTCCATTTGCGTTACAACTTCGTTTGAACTAAAGCCTGGTCCGTGAGCACGTAGAATTTTGTCCAATGACCCCAAGCTACCCATCCTTATCGCTCGCGCGTAATTATATTGCTGTCGCGACTGTGCGACGGGTGCCCGCAGTGAGTGTGCAAGCGCGACAGCAACACAATTACGCGCGAGCGATAAGGATGGGTAGCTTGGGGTCATTGGACAAAATTCTACGTGCTCACGGACCAGACTATAGCTGTCAAAACGATACCGCGATACGGATTTGTCAAAACAGCTTATGTTCGTTCGTCGTCCAGTTGCGTTGCAGTAGAAAATATTACCGCAATCGGCGCGCTGAAATGATGATGAACTCATATTGTTCCAGAACGCAGCCAAGCTGAAGTACCACATCGTAGCCATGCACACGAGTGAGACGCCATACCAGTGCGCGCACTGCGCAGCCGCCTTCGGCTGGTACTCCAGCCTGTACCGACACGTCCGGGAGGTGCATTATAAGGTACGAGCAAGGATCCCCTGCGAGCAACGATCCCCTAGTAGCTAAGATCCCCAGGGGACAGGATCCCCTAGTAGCCACGATTTCTTGTTAGCCATTACCTCCTACTAGCCAGAATCCCCTGTTAGCCACGATCCCCTGGTATCTAGGATCCCCCGCTAGCCTAGATCCCTCAGCAGCCAGGATCCGCAGGTAGCCATGACCCTCTTAGTAGCCACGATCCCCTGTTAGCCATGACCCCTAGTAGCCACGATCCCCTGTTAGCCATGACCCCTAGTAGCCACGATCCCCTGTTAGCCATGGCCCCCTAGTAGCCATAATCCCCTGTTAGCCATGACCCCCTAGTAGCCACGATCCCCTGTTTGCCGTGACCCCCTAGTAGCCACGATCCCCGGGAGCCAGGATCCCGCAGTAGCCAAGATCCCCCAGTAACCAAAAAAAAACAGGTTTCCCCAGTGGCCACTACTGCAACTCCTGTCCAGCCAGGATCGACTTGACGTTACACCCGGTGGAAAGTTTTATTTGTTGTATGAAAGTATATTGTATCTTACTAATTCCATGTCAAATAGACAGTTTGCCACCATACCCCAATAATTCGAAACCACAATTTTTTTAAAAAGACCCTTAATTCTGGTCTTAAAAACTTAATTAATTTTAAATTACCTGTAAATTACGATTTTTGTTCGCATTGTAATTGAAAAAAGTAGTTTGATTGAGTTGACAAAATAGTGACGTCACTTGCTTGTGGTGCCATACAAAATCTATGGGAGAGTTTCGTTTTGACAGTTTTAAAAAGTACGTTATAGATGACCCACGCTGAACTGTCCCGCCAAACTCAATGACAGGGGGGCGCTACCATCGTTCAACTATATGGTTTCCAACATGGCAAAAATCTGAACCAGCGATCCGATATTGACGGTGGCGCCCCACTGTCAATGTCATCGACAGGACAGTCCAGTATTTTGGAACTATAATTGATTGGTGGTGTCAACATGTCTATTCCAGATGAAACTCCAACCGAAGAAGATGCGCAAGCCCAAGCGCGCTTCCCCGCTGCCGCCCGCGCCGCACCCCCTGCCCTTCTAGACGCCCTGTATGACCCATACAGGGCTAACACTTAATCATACCCTGAGGGCCTAGTCAGTCAAAAAATGACATTAAGGGCTATATTTCACCGGGACACCATGGCGGCGCAACCAGTCGCCGCTACCAACAAAATGTATACAGCTTTGCGCAACCAAACGGACACCAGGTGAGTAACTCTCTATAGAGCTGCATACATTTTGTTGGTAGCCGGCGACTGGTTGCGCTCCCATGGTGTCCCGGTGAAATATACTCACACTCGGCCCACTGCTGTATAACATCATACAGGACATGATAGGAATATGAATGTTAAGAAAAACAAGTACGAACAAAATACGAGGGGCGGCTGAAAAGTTTTGAGCCTAAGTATCTTCAAGTGCTATTATTGACTCGCGCTTAATTTAATTAATTTGCCAATAACCTCCTTAGTATATGTACAAAGTTTCATTTCATTAGCGTCATCACGCTTTTAGTAATTAATCCGTAAACATCATCATGTCTCAGTCATCCGCGCAATGTACGAAATCGATGTACACAGTTGTCATAAAATTCCTCAAAAAGAGGAACAAAACGCTGACGGTAACATTTGAAGAGATGTCTACAGTTTATGGGGAGTCTGGGCCTTCATTTGCCATCATGAAAGATTAAATCCGATAGTTCAAGCATGGCAGGGAGTCGCTAAAAGATGACCGAAAGTCAGGGCGGCCAGATTTCGCCTAATGGCGAATAAAATAATGAAAATTTAAAGAATCTTGCTTTAGAGATCAGCGAATTAAGCTGTGACAGGTAGCTGAAGCCATAGACATTAGCAAGGAACGTATCGGCGATATTTTTCATACTCATTTGCACATGAAATAGGGGTGCGCGCGATGGGTGCCAAAAATGCTCACGCCGCTCGACAACCAGCGTCGAGTCACAACTTCGCAGGAGTTTTAGGACATCTTTGGCCATAGGCCTAACAATTGTTTTTCTCACATTATCACTATTGATAAATATTAGATTCGGCAGTACGATTTAGAGTCAAAATAAGAGTCAATGCAATGGATTTAAAAGGGAAAACGCCGACGTGGAAATTCAAAGTGGAGCGATCGACACCCAAGCTCATAGCCACTATTTTTGGGATTGTGGAGGAATTTTATTCATTGACTACCTATTTAAAAAAAACTACAATAAACGGGGATTATTATGCTGTACTGTTGATAGGAGTGCGTCAAGTGGTTGTTGAAATATTAAGAGGCAAACTGGCGAAAGGAAATCTGTTACTGCAAGACAATTCACCCGCGCACACCGCGCATGTTGCATGGCTTGCCCCGGGTAAAACTGGATTTCAAGAAATTAATCACCCACCACACAGTTTAGTCCGAATCCCTAGCTATTTTGTCTAATTCTCAATTTGGAAAAAAAATCTCCAGGAACGAAGATTTTTGAGTGACAAAGAAACGAAGGCGGCGTTAAAGGCTCATTTCGAAGGCAAAGATTGCGAATTTTTTTCAGTGGGTTAAAAGCTCTTTTACACAAATGTAAGAAGTCCGTTGTAGTAGAGGGAGATTAAATAGAAAAATATTTTTTACACTTTTCTATCGGCATTTTTAATACCCTAGGCTCAAAACTTTTCAGCCGCCCCTCGTATCAACTCTGTAACAATAAATATCTCAATTTGTTTGAAAAATGAAAATGCCAGATTTTCACTTTTTTGAAGAATTAAACGGGAAATAACTTTTTAACAAGTGAACTTAACTATGTGTTGAGAAAAATGGACTAGATAATCTATAAAAATTTATTACATACTTTTAAATGATGGTAACAGTGAATTCCCATTTTCCCCTGAAATAGGGAAAGCAGGAAGAAAATGTTGTATTTTCCCTCGAATTTTATTTTACTATTTTATTTTGGAATTTTCGTTTTACATGGTTTTTTATATCAAACCCTGTTCATCACGAAAGTATTATCAGTATTAATTATGTACTTATTTAATTTATAAAGTTAAGGTTCGTGTTTAGAACTTTAAAATTAAATTGTGCTCGAGAAACATGAATTAATTTCAATCTTTAGAAGAAAATTATTTGGAATTAAAAACTATATTTGTACATAACATTATGTATACTTATAGATCGTTTCATCCACTCGGACGCGCCCCACCATTCTCCCGCGAATGTTCTCGTGTTATCGGTCCACGCGAATGCTCCATGAGTGCACACGCACACTACAGTAATGCCTTACGGCTTGCTCGGACCACACTCCCCGCACCCCGCGCGACCGGGACCACACATGGGGCGCGGCCGAGTGGATGAAACTATTTATCTACTTTGAAAGACATTATTTACAATATACATTTTAAAATTTAGTTTTCCAATTATTTTCTTTATATTTTTCACATCAATTATTATTATTATTAAGTTACCAATCAATTTGCCTTTTATTGAACTGACTGAAATTATTATTGTATTATTAAATTAGGATATAGATCTGAGATTGTGATTAGAATAATTAAAGAAATAATAATAAAATAAGAATTTGTAATTGATGAATTGTTTTATTTACATTTTTACATCATGTCAAGTCTAATTCAGTATTAAATTAATAAGAAAATAGCGGGGTCAAATTATGCACCCAGTGTACCCTAAATAAGGAAAATTATCCCCAGTTTTCCCTAGTGGAGCACTGGGGGCGATTGGGAAATGTTTTTTTTAATAAAATGAAATAATTTTATTTGCCATAATAATTATTGAAAATATTACTTGCCACTGCTGAGCACTTTTCGGTTTAGCGCTTAACTCAGTCAGTGCCTGAGGTATGGCAGCGAAACTGGAGGGGTGACATTGACACAATAATGACGTGACATCTACACTAATCTATACTAATATTATAAATGCGAAAGTAACTCTGTCTGTCTCGCTTTCACGCCTAAACCACTGAACCAATTTTGATTAAATCTATACTAATGTCTAATATTATAAATGCGAAAGTAACTCTATCTGTCTGTCTCGCTTTCACGGCTAAACAACTGAAGCTATTTTGATGAAATTTGGCATAGAGATAGTTTGAGTTCCGGGAAAGGACATAGGATAGTTTTTATCCCGGCTTTTGAAACAGGGACGCGCGCGATAAAGTACTGTGTCAGCCAAAATTCCACGCCGGCGGAAAGCTATAAATCTGAAGTCTCGCTGACGTTTGAGGTAACAAAAACACCCAGGCACTGACTGATCTAAAACTCATTTATGCACTTTTACACGTCCCAGTATTAACCCTACCACTGATCTAAGAAAAACAATCGACTAGTGGTGATATGGAACGTATGATACGGGTGCCTAAACATTCCAGTGGGGTAATATGGGAAGTGTTTCAATTCCCAATCGCCCCCAGGGTGGCAACTCGGAATAATATAAATAGAGCTAATTACTAAATATCACACTTTCAGCTTTTCCCGCTATCGTACATGCGTCTAACAACTTTTAGCAGTTCTACCAGATTCTGTCCGGTCTTTGCCGATATACCGATGACTTGCATCTGCTTCTTTAGTATTTCGAAGTTCTTCTTCCCTTCTGGGAGGTCAATCTTGTTCACGACGACGCATTGAGGCCTGGGACAAATAAAAAGTTTTATGTTGAGGGAGATTACAGCCCGGTCTGTGAGCTCGTAGAATTTTGTCCAATGACCCCAAGCTACCCATCCTTATCTGTCGCGACTGTGCGACGGGCGCCCGCAGTGAGTGTGCGAATGCGAGAGCAACATAATTACGCGCGAGCGATAAGGATGGGTAGCTTGGGGTCATTGGACAAAATTCTACGTGCTCACAGACCAGACTATATAATAAAAAAAAAAATAAAAAAAAATATACCTGGTATCGGGGTCAAAAGTTACCCCAGGACATCAATCTTTTCCTCATATCTTTTTAGTTTTACAATTTAAACACCTGTGCTCCTAGGTAATCACTTTACGTTGCGGGGTGAAACGGTTGACAGACTTGCGTCACTCTAAACCAGGGGTGGCCAACCGGTCGATCGCGACTATTAGTCCAGTCGATCGTGGCAAGTCAAAATATACTACATGATTGTGTACTAAACTATGCTGGTTCATTTGAGATTTCAAGAAGTATGTAAGTGGTAGATGCCCAGGGTTTTGTTAGTAAGCAGTAGATATTATGGCTTATCAAGTTGGCCACCCCTGCTCTAAAGTAACTCCGAAGAGAAGGTACTTGCACCATTGGGGTCAAAAGTGACCCCCGATAGTAGACAGTATTGTCGCGATAACTAAAAAATTCATCAAGTGAGTAGAAGCAGTTTGAGATTAATTGAACCAATCGCGAATCGGACTAATCGCGATTTTGTAAATGTTTCACCACGATTGGACCAATGAGGGCTATCGTTTTAGCGCTCACCAGTTAGCGCCACTGTAGAGTAAGGTCCTGTCACTTGCTAGTAGCGAAGACAGTGGCACCAACTGGTGAGCGCTAAAGTGGTAGGAGGACTATCGCATTTGCACTCATCAAGATGGCGCCACTGTAGAGTGAGGTCCTGTCAATCGCCAGGGGTGCCAACTGTTAAGTAACAAAACGATAGCCCTCATTGCGAATTGGACCAATCGCGCGGAACGCCATCTCACCTGTCGGCCAGATCCGCGTTGTATTGCGCCACCTCGTAGGCCAAGCTCTCGTACTGTTCCTGAGGATCTGTGGACCCGTCTAGTAGGTATATCAGCCCGCGACATCTTTCCACGTGCTGGAGGAACTGGATGCCTGTGGAGTGAGTTAATATTTATTTGTGTAAACAGGCTAAAACGATAATACAATGTGTTTAGATTAAGGTAAAATGTATTTGCGGTTTTCGTAGCGCAACCCCTGCGCGGAACTAACAGTTCCAATTTTCGTTAATAGATGGCGTTGACCGTAATTGACTCGCGCTAACATTTGATTTTTTACGGACTTTATAGGGTGTTTTGCATAGCTGGTTTAGTAAAGTTTTTATCAGCCTACGGAAGTTGTGTTATATACTTGTGTGATGAGAAGTGTGAACACAATGAATTTAAAAGAAATACAGACATTTTCGAACAGCTTTTGGGAAAACGATAATAATAAAAACTTTATTTTTCTTCCACGAAACTCATGCTTACAATTTAATGGTAGAAAAACGTAAGAGCAGTATAATAGAGGTAGGTATAAAGCTCTTTACGTCTTAGCAAATTAACCAGGTACCCACTCCAAAGCAGTAGTAGGTTTATCTAAATCAGCCCAGATGTGAAATTAAAGTCGATATCATCGATTTAAGGTCGTCGCACACTTATCAACCCGGAAAGGGATTGTAACCTTATCAACTTGAGGCGGTCAGTATTCTTATGAAACACTGCAATGCACATTTATCCTAACTGTAACGTAAACGCCTCACCTCGCGGTTGAAAGCGCTCGAAAGGGGATATCGCCTTTCCTCGTTGATAAGTCAGTTATGACCTTTAATATGAGTGTTGACCCACCTATCCTATAAAACAACTAAATATGATTCAAAAATATAATTCAAAGATTATTTATTCACAGATATTATTATTTAAGGAATTGTTATTGTTTTGTTAACTGACCTAATCCATAGTTCTTGTGCGAGCCGGGAATCAACCCGGGTAAGTCCGCTATCGCCACCTGCTCGTAGTCGTCGTACTGCACCATGCCTGAGGATACAAGTTCAGTGGTGGGAAAATGGCTGATAAATTGAGCAGAAATAAATAGAAAAAAATATTGACATAATGTATTTACATATAAAATACTTTCTTTAGACGAATTACACTGTGACGCGCCTCGCGACGCATCGACAGCCCTAGCACCCAGCGCAGAGATTTTGACAACCCTACGGCTGCGCGGCCGCACGCCGCACGGACCGAGCTAATATAAGAGACGGCGGCGACCGCGGGCGCCTAGCATTCGCTCGGGAGCCATCGTAACAGCCAGACGATCGCGCGCGCGTCTACGGCTAATTACGCAAGAGTCCCTAGCGAATAGCTACCCTCACTGTTCCCACTAACCTGGCTCGATAGGACTTTCGGCTCGCGCGGTTTCCGTGACACGAGCGAACCATCGTTGCCTGTATACACATTCCAATCCTTACCGAGTGCATGCTTTACTCAATCCCGACCTGCGGTAGCAATCCCGCTGCCACCCTTCCTGGATTCCTCCCCACTCGCCACGTAGGTCCCAAGCCTTTTTACCTTTGGTACTCGAACCCCCACTTCGTTGACCTCGGTTACCGATTTGGTGAGCGGACCATCCTACCCCCCTAGTTTATAAGTATCCAAACTAACACTTGCTAAACCTCGCACAGGGCGCCGCCCCTCTCGCGGATACGTAAACTAGTCTCGGGACGCGAACCGGGCGCGTCGCTATCCCTCTTGTCATAGTAGATTTGCAATTGTAGAATAACTTGTTCATTATTTAAATAATAGTAATTTAGAGTCAGTGAAACTAGAATAAGTAAACTATTGTGGAACCTGAATTATAAGTGCCATTGTGTTATTGATTGTGCGTTTCCTTGGTCGAATATCCCTGTAGGCATCCTGGATAGGTACACATCCCTCATCGCAGAAGGCGAACTGGGACTTAGTACTAAACAGCGGGGTGTCAGACTGAGCTAGCTAAGACGCCCCGTTGCAATGGCGCCCAACTAAATAACCCACGGAACCTACAGGGAACACCAGATCGCTAGACACAAGCGAAAGACCAAAAGGAAAGCAAAACTTGGCACCAAATTGATAATCACACATGTCAGAACCGACATCTTGGATATACAAACTCAAGAAGACAGAACTTGAGAACGAGTGCAAAAGAAGAAACATAAAAACGGAGAACAGAACCGTACAAGAACTGAGACAGAACCTCACAGAAGTACTCAGAACCAAGCAATCCCGTCAACCAGTCCAGTCCGCCAGTAAGTCCGCCGAAGACAGTGAGTCAGAAACCGATTTCGAAGACACTGAGATGCACCAAGAACCAAACATGTCGTACACCATAGATCAGACTGAAAGCATAACGGCAAGATGGAACATAAGTTTTGACACATGCAACGACCCAGTGGAGTTTTTAGAGCAACTGGACGAACTAATGTCATCGGGCGAGGTCAAGCCAGATAAAGTGCTCAAAGTGCTACCCAGATTCCTGAAAGGTAAAGCTGTACTGTGGTATAGAAATAATAAAAACTCGTTTACTACATGGAACGAATTCATAGAACTCTTCAAGTTGACATTTGTGAGCCGTGACAGTGACCTGTTAGCTAAAATAGTGAATTATAGGCAACATTACCGCCAAAAATTCACAGACTACCTGATTGAAATACAAACACTCATGCGCAGATACGCAAAAATGTCAAAAGAAGAAGAACTAAATAGAATCTACGAAAACATGAACACAAAATACAAGTTTTATATCAAGAAATCAGAAGTCGACTCGATAAGCAAATTAATACAACTGGCAAACGACTATGAAAATGTCACAGCAGACCGTCAAACTAGCTTCATACAAAGAGAACCACGAAATGATCACCACGAAACAAGCACAAATTTTAATCAAGAACACAAGGAGACGGCGTCATACATACACAATTACAACACAAATACTTGCTGCTGGAGCTGTGGAAAACAAGGACACTCCATGAAAGATTGCAGAAGTAAGAAAATACTGTTTTGTAACGGTTGTGGCAGGATCGGCAAAATGAGTAAACAGTGTTGTAAGAAAACAAATGAGTACACACAGTCCATGACAATAAACACAAGTCCGCAACTCAAAGATAACCGTCCATTCGTAGATGTATCGATACTAGGCGAAAAATATCAAGCACTCGTAGACACCGGCGCCACAAGATCATACATCAACGACCAAGTGTACAATAAATTCGTGAAAAGAAACTTGAAACCGAAAACAGTAAGCATAACAGCTAGCATGACAGATGGGCACACAACTCGAATAAAAGAAGCACTAGACTTGGAAATAAAAATAAAAGGTAAAACAGTTAACCACCAAGTGTTATATCATCCACAAATCACGACTATACTGATCGGCATGGACATATTAAATAGAATAGGAGCCAAAATAGAATGGCCAAAAGATTTCCCAAAAAAATTATAGAATATCGATGTTCCCACTAACCTGGCTCGATAGGACTTTCTGCTCGCGCGGTTTCCGCGACACGAGCGAACCATCGCTGCCTGTATTCACATCCAAATCCCTACCGAGTGCATGCTTTACTCAATCCCGACCTGCGGTAGCAATCCCGCTGCCACCCTTCCTGTAATTCCTCCCCACTCGCCACGTAGGTCCCAAGCCTTTTACCTTTGGTGCACGAATCCCCATTGCAACGGGGCGTCTTAGCTAGCTCAGTCTGACACCCCGCTGTTTAGTACTAAGTCCCAGTTCGCCTTCTGCGATGAGGGATGTGTACCTATCCAGGATGCCTACAGGGATATTCGACCAAGGAAACGCACAATCAATAACACAATGGCACTTATAATTCAGGTTCCACAATAGTTTACTTATTCTAGTTTCACTGACTCTAAATTACTATTATTTACACAATGAGTAAGTTATTCTACAATTGCAAATCTACTATGACAAGAGGGATAACGACGCGCCCGGTTCGCGTCCCGAGACTAGTTTACGTATCCGCGAGAGGGGCGGCGCCCTGTGCGAGGTTTAGCGAGTGTTAGTTTGGATCTTTTGACATTTTTGCGTATCTGCGCATGAGTGTTTGTATTTCAATGAGGTAGTCTGTGAATTTTTGGCGGTGATGTTGCCTATAATTCACTATTTTAGCTAACAGGTCACTGTCACAGCTCACAAATGTCAACTTGAAGAGTTCTATGAATTCGTTCCATGTAGTAAACGAGTTTTTATTATTTCTATACCACAGCACAGCTTTACCTTTCAGGAATCTGGGTAACACTTTGAGCACTTTATCTGGCTTGACCTCGCCCGATGACATTAGTTCGTCCAGTTGCTCTAAAAACTCCACTGGGTCGTTGCATGTGTCAAAACTTATGTTCCATCTTGCCGTTATGCTTTCAGTCTGGTCCATGGTGTACGACATGTTTGGTTCTTGGTGCATCTCAGTGTCTTCGAAATCGGTTTCTGACTCACTGTCTTCGGTGGACTTACTGGCGGACTGGACTGGTTGACGGAATTGCTTGGTTCTGAGTACTTCTGTGAGGTTCTGTCTCAGTTCTTGTACGGTTCTGTTCTCCGTTTTTATGTTTCTTCTTTTGCACTCGTTCTCAAGTTCTGTCTTCTTGAGTTTGTATATCCAAGATGTCGGTTCTGACATGTGTGGTTATTACGAGGTTTTGCGTTCCTTGTGGTCTTTCGCTTCTCTAGCGATCTGGTGGTCCCTGTAGGTTCCGTGGGTTATTTAGTTGGGCGCCATTGCAGATAAAAAGATAGAAAAAAAGTTGCAACACAAAGCTTGCTGAAGTATGACGCTTAGATTATATGTATTTGCTGACGGCTGCCATCTAATTTGTCGCTTGCTGACGGATGTACACATCTAGGTGTAGTTTGCTGACGAATGATATGTAGAGTAGTGACTTACTAACGGATGAAACCTAAGTGTGACTTGCTGACGGATGACACCTAGGTGTAGTTTGCTGATGGATGCTACCTACACTACTTTGCTGACGAATGACACCTAATCACTCTCTAGGGGTCTTACCTATATGTGGCTGTAGTGTAATAAAGGGATAAGACGCGCCCTTGTGGCCGCACGAAGTAATGTGCTCTTCCCTGCATTGGGAGCCCCTACCAAGTCCACTTGTAGGGTAACTACTGTTGGATAACACTTACATGTTGCTTGCTGACCGATGACACCTATGTGTAACTTTCTGAAGGATGACACCTAAGTGTAACTTGCTGACGAATGCTACATGACACTTATTATTTATTTAAATTCACTTGGTGACAGATGAAAATAACGTGGGTTTTACCTATATGCGGTTGTAGTGTAGTAAAGGGATACGGCGCGACAGCAGGACGCGCCCTTGTGGCCGCACGAAGTAATGTGCTTTTTCCAGCGTTGGGAGTAGTAGTACTACTAGTCCCACGTGTGCTAGCGACCATACTGAGAGAGCTGGCAATTTCACCTAGACGTTGCTTATACTGACGGATGACACCTAAGTGTGACTTGCTGACGGATCACACCTAGGTGTAGTTTGCTGACGAATAACATCTACGCGTAACTTGCTAACGGATGTCACCTAGGTATATTTTGCTGATGGATGCTATCTAAACATAACTTGCTGACCAATGACCCCTAATTTCTAGAGATCTTACCTATATGCGGCTGCAGTGTTGTGAAGGGATAGGGTGCGACAGCAGGACGCGCCCTTGTAGCGGCACGAAGTAACGTGCTTTTTCCAGCGTTGGGTGCTCCTACTAGGCCGACGTGTGCCAGTGAGCAGACTGAGAGAGAGTAGCTGTGTTTGATGACACTTTATACAGAACAAGGCAGGTATTTGACTTACGTAGCTTGAAGACCAATGACACCTATATGTAAATTTCTGACGGATGTCACCTAAGTGTGACTTGCTAACGGATGTCACCTAGCTGTAGTTGCTGATCGATGAAACTGGCAAATTTCAGATAGGTACTTGACACCTAAGTGTGTCACTTGGGTGTAGTTTGCTGACGGATGATCCACATAACTTGCTGACCAATGACATCTTATCTTTCTAGGGGTCTTACCTATGTGCGGCTGTAGTGTAGTAAATGGATACGGTGCGACGGCAGGACGCGCCCTTGTGGCCGCACGAAGCAATGTGCTTTTTCCCGCGTTGGGTGCTCCTACTAGGCCAACGTGTGCTAGGGAGCGGACCGAGAGAGAGTAGCTGTGAGTCTCGCCTATAGCACCTAGTTCTGCTACGTCGGGCGCCTGTAAAAAGAACGTCAGACTCAAAAATATTAATTTGTGGAACATAGGTAACAATTATTTGGTATTTGACATTATTTTTTAACCGACTTCAAAAAAGGAGGAGGTTATAAAATA